TTAGCAGCCAACAATGGAAGACTTTCCACTTATGCTGGTGTACTTCCACATAAGATGGCCATGAGGAACGAGCTTATAAAGAGGCAACTTGATGTGTGAAACCGATTGTCTCGCCAAAGACTGGACAAAAGCCAGGCATGAAGATGGAGGATGAAGAGAATGGGATGTACAACATGAGATTGAGGTTGACAAAGAAGCAAGAGAAATAGTGGAAGAGGTAGAGGTGGTGATAGGAGCAGACACTGTAAGATTGCACTGGCCAATATGGTGCCATCAGGAGGACTCAGCAAGGAGTTGAGTGGACCAGAGAAATCATCCGATGAAGCAATTGGATTGAAGGGTACACATAAGGGTATATGTGTGACCAATCCTGGCTGAAAGCACGACCACTAAAGCCTGAGGATGCAGTACAGGTGAACAAAAAAGGGACAACTTGGTATTGAGGCTTGTGGCAAAAGCATCCAATTGGGGAGAACTACAATGATGGCAAAGGTCTGTTGGATAGAACCAGTCTGGTTGTGAAAGATGATCTGTGATGAGATTGAAAGCACCCAGCACATGACATGCAATAAGACGAATGTGATGTGCATGAGCCTATTCTGGACTGGGTGGCCCCTTGTGGTTGATATGTACCACCACCACCATAGAGTTGTCCAAATGAACCATCACCAGACAATGACAGGCAAGAAGAAGGAAGTGGTGTAAAGCCCGATATACTGCTAGAACTTCGAGAACATTGATATGCAAGGCAGTTTTGTCCACAGATCAATGACCCAAAGCTTCCTGGTGATTGATCCTTGCTTCCCAACCTTGAAGGGATGTGTCCATGAACAAATGTAGATCCAAATGTTTTGCAGAGGAAGTAGATCCAGATGCTGGAGAGGAAGTGGCACACACGTCGATGCATGAGCTTTGTCCAGCCATCAGTGCAGATCAACTCTCAGGAAAGGAGGAGGAGAGATTGGAGAGGAAAATGAATCTCGAGAAAGGTTCCATTATTAGTGAAGTGCCCACTGTAGGGATCTCATGTGAGCAGAATCAAGATGGACAAGTGCAGTCATGGAGGGCCATATCCCCAAAAGTGATAGAACCTAGAGAGTGGTAAGTGACAGAGTCAAGAAGGCATGGTGAACTAAAAGGTCCATGGACCAAAAGACGTAATGGAGAAGGCAAAGCTTGACTAAGATTGGTGTCGAAAAAGACCCCCCAGATGGACCAGATATTGAGTGGTCAAAGGAACAACTTCTCCAATTTGATCAGCCAGCCCACCCGAGCCACTACAAAAGGGAGTTGGTGGGTATGATTGGCCAATTCCTGTTTGGAATGAGCCAGTCATCCATGTAATAATGAAATCACATCCCCAGAGCATGAAGATGACGAGCAAATGCTCGGACTATTCAACAAAACACATAAGAAACCAATATTGGTAAACCACTCCAAGATGGACAAACTGAAGATGAGGTCGAGACTGCTGGGCTATCGGGATGTGGAAGTAAGAATTGGAAACATCCACTTTCGTCATCCAGAATCCTGGTGAAAATGCTCATCTCAGGGTGAGTATAGACTTCATGCTAAACTTGGGGAGTGTAATGAAGAGATTGAGTGAGGTAAGTCGATAATCAGCTATCAATTTCTGGTTTTCTTGGGGACCATGAAAAGACAGGAATAAGAAAACCCAGAAGGTTGGTGGACCAGTTTAATAGCTCATTGTAAAATCAAATCTCAAACTTCCTCAGATAGATGCTGACATGCCATGGGATCTTGAGGAATAGGAAAGGAAAAGGGGCAAGGATAAACAGGAGGAGGTGAAAGAAACTGGATAATGAAACCTTCTGAGAGAACTATTATCACCCATTGATCGTTGACAAAGGGACGCCAGCAAGGACGAAACTCCAACAGTCGAGCTCCCACTGGCTCCAAGCACACTGGGTAGTCACCAGTACTGGGAGGATGAAGGACGAGAGACGGAAATAGGTGGTATATGAGGCTCTGACTGAGACAAATGGGCGACAAAGGACGTGAGGGTGGATTGCTGATAGTCTGATGTAACCAAAGGCTTGATAGTTTCTGGGACAGTACCAAAGACATAAAATCTTAGAAAAGGAGCAAGATGCAAGTCTCGTAGATATGTTGATCGTAAATTTACCCAAGCCAATACAGGACCCCCTTCGAATAAGGTCCCAACAACAAAGAAACCACGTTTGTAACACCAGAGCAGAGGATGAAATGCGGGCTAATGTGGAGGAGAAAAGATGCAGGGTATCTATGAAGAGCCTCCAAGCGGAAATGTGTGGAAGAAAGATACTGTAGAAGGTAGGTTAGAGTAAGACGAAAGCAAGAATATTGGGTATGGGTAAGACTAACATTAGATTCGGAATCCCCCCCCCCAAAGAGGTAACAATGAACCCAATAACTGCTGATCCAAAAAATAGATAGTCAGCATAATGGTAAAAAAGGGTGTACTGATCAGAAGTCCTAGCGGGGCATGGCATGCTGATCCCCTCACTTGTGGGACAAATTGATCAGCATGGGGAGTGAAGACATATCAAAAATGGTTGAGAAGAAGTTTCATGTAACAAACGGCGAGGTGAGACACAAAATCAGTGAAGACCGAATTAGGCCTACATGAATACTCAGGTTGCAAGTGGGAAGGAAGTTTCCCTCTTCTGATTTATATATCTCATGGTTAGGGGTATCCTTCAGATGCTTCCGTGGGTGCTTCTTTCATTCCCTCGCACATGTCCCTCCTCCTTCTTAATGTATGATTCTAGCTAATCTTGTGAGAGGAGGAGGTAAGTACCATACAGGAAGTTATAATTTTCTTATACTGAAAATGTATTTTTGATAGGTACTTACCTCCCTCACACTTCCCACCCTTCCTCCCCACACTGGTGCTTCTGTGAAATTTCGAACTGAAGCTTCGGTAGAGGAATATAGAGAGAGTCACATGAATATGTTAAGAGTTGATGCGTGATGATTTGAATGAGAGACATGTTGGAATATGATAATTCCAACAAGGGGGAGCACAAAGCCTGTGGCATGCGTAAAGAAACTTTCACATATAGAGGGCAGCACTGAACGAGAATAGCTAATCTTGTGAGAGGTGGTAAGTACTGTATTGGAAAAAATAGTCTGTAAAAGCACAACTTAAAAAAAAGGCAAATCATTACCTTTCCATGAAGAGAAATGTGATAAGCAAAAAATTTCACACTAAAATATTTTTAGTTTTATTTCACTTCACAAGAAAAAAACTAATGAATGTTGAACACAAGTTTACTATTATAAGACTAAGGCAACAATTAAAAATTATCAAAAAGATGTAAGAAGAGTTGTGTTTTTACCATTTCTAATCAGTGTGCTAAGCCATTTGTTTCACAAGTCAATTTATGAACAGCCAAAAACAGGTAAATAAATAACAATTCTTACAACAACCAACATGATACCCGAAGGCAGAAAGTTGTGCACTTGTGTTATGTGGCTCAACAACAATACAAAAGAAACATATAACAATAATAATTCAAGAGGTAGCTAGCACCGATCAAAGCTAATAGAAGTTTTTGCAAATTATGATTTAAAATGAACAATTCGGTAAAATTTCTAGAGCCTAGGCCAGCCTAGACTTGATTCTTTATTTCTTTTGGGAAAGTTTAAAAAATAATCATACTTTTCTGTTTTTAAAATGAGACTCAACAACTTAGGTTTTAAAATAGTCAAATAATTAAAACCAAGAGTTTTACAAAGATAAAATTTTGAAATATAAATAATTCTGTCCTGTAAAACAGACTTGCATTCAAAGGAACCACTAAAATCTTTAAAATGACATATGTATTATTAATAAAGTAAATTGAAAGTTTCACAGAAGTTTCATGTTCATGATTTTTTTTCTTACGTTATTACAAAGTTTATTAAAAACATTTTGTAACTCAAGATACTATGATATTTCAATTCTGGCACTATTTCTTCCAACTTTCATATGTACATCCACTTGCTATAGCATTTTGAAAATTATTTTAATTTAAATAAAAGTATAAGTGATCTCAAATCATCATTGAGGAAATACTCTAATAAAGACAATCTTTCAGAATTTCTAGCTTACTATTCCAATATTAGTTGTTGTTTTTAAAGAACTGAGTATTTAAATACATAAACATATTGTATATGTATTAATTAATGAAAATGCTTTAAATGAAGAACTTCACTGAATAGCACAAATATATACACGTCAAGCACATAAATATGAGTCAACATATAAACAACTATTATACAAGTAGACATACCTTTTTAAAACACAAAACTTTTACACATAATGTGGATATAGGTAACTGAAAACGTTATTTAGAACTTAAATATTATTAAGTAAATATGGAATTTAAAATTCTGATGTAATTAATTTGTTTGTTTTTTATATTTATAGATCTGTACCACTGGCCAATTTTATCATTTCAGTATCCGAGATGAATAATCTAATCAACTTACACTTGTACCTGTAACAGTCAGGTCTTGTTCTGGATCATACATATTTTTTAATAACTTAGGACACTTGTCATAGCCTTACACATCAAATAAAAGTGTAAGGATTCGGGCACAGGTGCTTAGGAAAATATGGAGTATGCTTACAATTTGTTAGTTTAGATTTTTATCATTATCAATACACCACCCAAATTAATATAATGATAAATCATTATTTTTCAGATTTAACTATTCCTGATCTCTCAGTGTTTCATTGTAAAGTTTTAAGCTTGAATTCTCATACACTGACTGGTCACTTTATTAGAAGCCCCTCCACACACATATATTTGCAGAAAACTCTGTGCAATTGCATCTATAAAACAGGCTGATCATTTTTTTTGTATCAGGTGACTACTTGAGCCCCGTAAATGCAGAAAATTAGTGATATGATGGTTAATATATGTAAACGTTTTCTCTCAGAAATTCTAAGAGCAATATGTGAGTGTCCAAATTACAGTTATCATCAGACACATCAGTTTTTCAACAAAGGCAATTGAAAGGGAATGTGAACTACTCGGAAGAACTGAAGCCACAAATTCACGAAAACAGACTAAGAGAAAAGACAACTGGACAAGTTTGTAATGTGCAACATTGGGACTGTGTCCCAATTGACTGAATCCTCCAAAGATCATGAGACGTATACATCTCTCATTGTACTATAAGTAAAAGGGATTTAAATATCAGTTATATCCAATACAAATAACATTCATATCAGTTAACTGTAAACATAAAATTATAATTTTGTCTTGTTAGTTGCATTTCACTTTTATTTTTGTACTCATGATAAAGTAAACTAATGAAAAACTCACAAGGCACTTGACTCTACTTGCATTATTTCAATAGTGCTGGAGATGGTGCAATTGCATGAGGAATGTTATTGTGACAGTTTTCTTTTTATTATTCTTTTAAAGGATGAATAACATCCAGCATGTAGTCAAAAATCATTGCCAACTGTAATTATCTCATAAAGCTGCACTTCCACCCTAGCAGGTAAGGGCTTTTTTGATATGATGTTGCAATAAACAACTAGGCTTATATCAACTAAGACTGGCCCAAGTGTAAGAGTGATTTCAGTCATCTTTCTTGACCAACATCAATGTACCTCAACTCAAACAACCCTCTTTCGGTAAACCTGAATGTTTTTCCCACCATAATATTTTTCCAGTGTCTATGAACCAGTTGTAGACCATACTCTTAACAAATGGGCTTTTGTTGAAAAACACTCTGGTGTCTTGTGGAATTGCTGATTGGAGGTGGTTATCATAGGAAAATATAGCCTGGTCCAATCCAATGTTAGGCAGGATCCTAATAAAGCAGTCAGTCAGTGTGTAAATTGGATCTTCAAGCATGTAAAACAAACACTCTAGTCAATTTTTAAGGATCAATAGAATAAACTGCAATAATTATACAATCTCATAAGATACAAACTGGAGATTTTTAGTTTTATTTTATTTGTACAAGCATGCCCGATAATGCGAAAGTGTGAAACATTTAGTTTCCTGGCTTGCTTCACAACCTATAAGGTGCTACTGAATATTTCATCGACCACAATACTTTTATCTCACAAAAACTACATGGACACTGTATACTACATGTATAAAGTAAACACATTACACTTTCTCAGCTCAAATTAAAATATTTAGTATGTTGCAAAAATTAAGAATTCTAAACTGATTTTTCAGCTCCTCTGAGCTTCCTTGTTTTATTCTTTGTTCCTCAATCCTTCAATCCCTCCAGTCCTTTCTAACTCACAACCTATCACAAAAACGTGCACGTGGAACAACAGTGCTTTTCAGTATTTTGTTTATAAGCTCAACATCATGAGATCATTTCCATGAAAGCCTAGATCAAACTCAGTTTTCCTTATACCTATAAGTACTGAGACTTATGACACATTACATTTCAGTATGTCTGAAATGTTTCAAAATCTATTTTTCTACTGTAATGAAGAAATGGATTCACTATATTTTTTTCAATTATCGTATCCTGTTTCTATCCATTTTGTGATTTTCTAGAAGAATTGGTGTGACTTGGGAAGGCTTGAAGATTCTGGATGAAAGAACACAAAATTCTGACCTTTAGAGAGTTCCCACGTATATAAAATAATTTAAAATATGCTATGCAATCTAAAAATCTTGAACTTTAAAAGAACAAAACAACAGAAATATGTAATATGAAATTTCTACAATACAAACATTTTCTCAGTTTATGTTAAAGTTAAGTTACAAATATGTATGCTGTGAAGATATAATGTAATAATTTTAAACTAATTTTTAAGAATAACTGATTATTGTTTGATGAAAGAACATAAAAATCTAGAAATAATGAGATTCAAACGTCTTACCTTTCTAATAATTAAATGTGAAAATTGTGTTATTTAGGTGGGTGTTGAATAATTTTATTAATAGGTAACTATAAACTAAGTAATTTGAATACTTCTACAAGATGATAAACTCTCTAAACTAGTAGAAACACACAATTAATTAAGAATGTAAAATAACAGTATCACAAGCAAGACCAATAAAGAATACAAAATCTTATAGTAGAATCTACTGTCAAAAATCCACTATGCATTTCATTATAAAACTGCACTGGAAACTGAAAAATGTTTACATAATATAATTATTTGATATTCACATCTTGCTAAAACAGAAAGAACAGAACTTTAAATAAAAAGAGGTACTTGATGAGTATCTACAGAAACTAACTGTGAATATTGGTGACCCATCTTGAAAGGGATAATAGATATGATAATTGGCCTCATTTCATACCCTATATATACATGTGCTGCTGCCCAAAAGTGGCTTGTAATATTTATATAGGATAGTACCCTTCATGTGCTGCACCTTAAAACCTTTGGTGCAAGCCTACTGAAATAATTAAACAATTAAAAAATTTACCAATAACACTCATTCTCTAGTGCTTAATCTTTACCTGTGTAATGAACAATAACCCTCCAAAATGATTTAACACAGAAAGAAATAATCTCAACAGTATTCCATAATGTCTCAAATGAACAATGTCTGTCTAATCTTTGAGCCCATGGCATTAAAAGTGACTTGTAAAATTTATATATGACAAAATAATTAAAAATTGTTAATTTAAAAAGAAGAATAGGGATTGTCAAAAAAGTACAGAAACAAGTTGAATCAAACTGCAAAGATTATATTTTCAAACCTACAACTTGGAACTCTAAAAAATGGAAACAAACTAGGATGTAAATAGTGTCTACATTATTTTCTCAAGCTACAAATCTCTATTTTGACTTCATGTCTATGATACTTATCAATTTTAGTGGAGTCAAAATATGGATTTATACCTTGAGAAAATAATGAGCTTGAGGGACTCTAAGAAAAAAAAAAAAGAACAAACTAGGCTTGAAATAGTGTCTAAATTATTTTCTAAAATAAATGAGATAAAGGTACTAACTACCCTTTCTTACTCTATAACTAGAACTACCTCTGGAAAGAGGCTTCATTATTACTTATGGAAGAAAGACTTTAGCCTAATATATTGTAGTAACCAGCATAATTTCTTGAAAGTGACCCAAAAGTATGTAAGAAAAGGGGGCACTAACATTTATGAGTATGACTGGGTGGTGATTTGCACTGTTTACCTAAAGTAGCTTCAAAATTACATATCAGACAAGGATATTATTCTTATGTACTGTACTAACAGCACTAGTTATTTGAAATGGATTCAGAAGTTGAGATGCATGTCTTATACATTGCACTTAGCAATCAACGTTATTTCTTGAAAGTTATGTTAGAAGGCCATATTGAGAGAGCACTAATCACATATAGTGTAAAAGAGGCTTTAAATGTACATAAGAAATGTAGCCACTAATATTAGCTGTTGAACTAACCAGCCCTATTTATTTAATGCGACTTAAAAAGTATGGCAACACACCTCATGAAACTATTTTCTGAAAGCAACTTTAGAAAAAACAACGTTGTTGCAAGATGAGTACTAAACTCATCAAGCAAGTAAAAAAGTATCAATATTAGAAATTCAGTTATTAAAACAAATACATGAGAAAAGTACAAAATTAATACATTTAGGAAATTTGAACACTAATGTGGTAAGGAATTTAGCAGTTTATAGTCACTGTAAAGTACTGTAAAAGTTGAGTACTTGTGTGCTATTATAAAGACATATACTTACGAGTAAGGAGAATTTGGCACTCCAACTATCAGTAGTTGATTTCCTTTCATAAACATTCTCCACATGCTCTATATAATAATAATAAAGGAAATAGGTTTAAATTAATATTAACAGCAAAAAGAGAAACTATGATGACATGATTCTTACAATACATGATTTAGGCTTTAGGTTTTACAGACCTTTGTAGAGTTGGCAAGATTGACCCATTTCTATAGAATAAACCTTTTCAACTCCTGTCTGAGTAAACTAATGATGGAAAGTAACTAAAGATTTTTACTTGTACATATTAAGCTATATCATTATCTTGATCAGTAATTTAATTTCAAAACTTATATCAGATACCTAAGACAAGGATCATTGTTGGTGGTTGAAAAAGAAATCAGTATCATAAGCAACAGCTTTAGCCTGAAAACATATGAATAAAAAGTAACTATTTGATGATGAGGAACCTACTTTTTTAGAAAATATAGTTTGGAGATGGCTTGAATGGGTAGTGAAAGAAACTTTATTACAAACGTACGACATTTCAACAAGGTTATGTCATCATTACACATCTGATAATGACATAAGCTTGTCGAAATATTGTACATTTGTAATAAAATTTCTTTCACTACCCATTCAAGCCATCTCCAAACTTTAAAAAGTAACTATTTAAAGAGGGTGTTTGATGTGTGTATGAAATCCTCTTGTACTTCTTACAAAACAACGGTTTATCCAAGAATATGTTTGTGTGATGAGAACTAGAAGGGGGAGTACCAAGATATCAAAAAATTGACTACCACAGAGAAACAGGAACAACATTCATAATAGACGAAAATAAATGTAAAGTGAGAGCTTCTCTTTCAAATGTTATTTAATAAACAGATAACAATACTAAAGTTACTATTTTTTTACCTTATATGTATCATTACTAAATGAAAAAGAAACATTACTTACTTTATGATAACCCCTAGCATCAAGGTCCCAAACCTTAAAACACTGTCAAAAGATCCAATAATCATGTATTGTCAAAGATCTATAAAACAATAACTATAACACTGAAAAACTCAACATACATTTGTATATCACATGCAGCTGTCAATGTAAAGAACAACTAATTAAAGAAGAAAGTGTTAATTGATAGATAAGATTTGTTTGTTTGTAATTAAGCACAAAACTACACAATGGGCTATCTGTGCTCTGCCCACCACAGGTATTGAAACCCGGATTCTAGCGTTGTAAGTCCAAAGACATACCGCTGTGCCACTGGGGGGTTGATAGATAAGAAGAACAAAGTTTAAAACTGAGAAAATGACAAGATACATATGATTAAAAATATATACAATGATTACTTGTAGTTAATTTTAAAAACACAGTTTTACTTACTATCGAATTATTTATCTATTTGTGGCAAATAGTTATAAAATGAGACATTATATTCCACAGGTTTTACTTTGTGCTTGTATAGAAGATCAGTGATTAAAAGTTAGTATTTCATTGAAATAAACAGAAACAAGAAGAATCCTCAATAGCCGTGGTACTTGAAGAAATTATTTTAGGGGGGGATTAGAGTAAATTAACCTATAAGACTTTTCTTTCCTATTTATTAACTATATTTTTGTGTACCAACAATACCAAGCATAGGGCACACCTGTACCTGATTCAATTTTATTAATCCTCAGGATCTCTACCAGCTTACCCTCAAATCAAAATTTTTTTAGGCAGGATTAGAATAAATTAATCTATGAGACCTTGGGCATGTTCAAATACATCAGTCAAGAGAGTCTTGCTTCCCAAGTCCCAAATTGTAATTAGATCTCGTATCGGTCAAGAGATGATTGATTTATGACCTAAAAGTCTGTACTTGAAAAACTCAGAGCCATTCTATAAGCTGCTATGATAAAGGTAAAAAAATTTAGCACCAATTTTAAGTCAATGGGATCCACAGGAATTGGAACCAAGGGTGCTGTAGCACCCCCATTTTTACATATTTGACTTTTATAGCAACTGTAAATTATATTATTATATTAATTTGGGAGGCATGCCCCCAGACCCCCTAGATTGAGCTGCCTTTGGCAGCACAGGAGCTATTAAAAGTAGCTCCTTATACTTTCAGTTCTTCAATGTAAAATCTGTATGGCTAGCCAAGCACCCTCACTTTGCAAAGACATATAAAATGATTATAAAAAGTCATTTTAGCATGTTCGACCAATAACTATTAGAAAATATTGTGAAGATTATGATTCTAATTCAATATTTTGCTTTTTACAGCATTATTTTGAAAAACCAAACTCATTATATAACATAATGCAAAATCCACAGTTTTGAGTGTTTGAACTGGAAAAAGTCCTTAAATTAGAAATAATTCTTAGTTTATGTTTTTCTGTTTTAGAGAAAAGCCATATTGGGTTATTTGCTGTGTCCACTACTGGGAATTGAACACCAGATATTAGTGTTTTAAGTCCATAAACTTACCACTGTCCCACTGAGGGATATATATTTATGTACACACACACACACAATAAAAAAGAGGGGAATTATTTTATATAATGACAAAAAAAACAAACTGGTTTTGAAAACAGTTTTAATAATAACTAAATCAACTAAACCTGAATATATTGAGAATTTGCTACAAAATAAACCATATGCGTTTTTTACTGAATCAGTTTTAAATAATACCAAAGTGTGACAATGAAGATTACAATCCTCATACCAAAAGATTCATACTACTTAATAAAGTACTGTTAGAATTAGAATAGTTTTCATTCAGGTCTTACAATTATTTTAATAACATTGAAAACTCTAGGCCTTATGGAAACAATTACTGAGTTAACAACACAATAATATAAAACATTAATGTACAGAATCTTTATTACCTGCAGAAAATGACAAAGATAACAATGAGTTTGTAACATAGGAATATCATATATACGAAGATTTGGAAAAATAATTAAGTATATAAAAAATGGGTTCAATTGGTCAGCAATTTACTAATCTAACACATGCAAATCTTTGACCAAGGATTTGCTATTCTTGAATATTATTTCACCAACATACCATTAAATGTTTATGGGCAAAAACTGAACAAAAGGTTAGGTATTTTTAATAACTATAATAGCATCAACTAAACTGTTTTTTTTTTTTCCTTGCTACACTGCACCACAAACCACTATTATACATTTTACATTAATTTATAACAACTTCTTTCAAGTTACACATTCCACCACAGATGAATCAGTACTTCAAAATAGTTCTTCTATTATTTTGATTTTACCATAAAAGAAAAAATATTCTTATCATTTAAAAACCTTTTCTTTTATTTCATGCTTAGTAAATGTTTCTGCCGTTGCAAATTAACAAGCAATTTATCATAAAAGATTTCAACATATTATGAAGACATTGTTAAAATTAACACATATTATATATATAACATTCATGTATTAAAAGTTTCCATGTTACTTGCCAAAAATAAAAAGTGACCATTAGAGTTACACTTGACATATCAGTATCTCAAAACTGATTTACAAGGTATAATAAACTTACTTTTGATACTTGAAGCCATGAGGTGAAATCCCTATGATTATTCATTTTAATAAACATCACATACACTTTTCCCTGTCAAAATAAACACAGAATAGTTAATAGAGATACATTAGGTACACACAAATGTATATGTGATCTTTTGTTTTGAGGAAAGTCCAAGTTTAAGTATGCCCATGGCACCACAATAAGTACTGCAGAGAGAATAAGAATGTCCTGAAAGGTATTAAGGATGCAGCACAATTTTCCTTTTCAAGCAATTCCTCAAAAGTGGAGTTTTAACATCAAACTTGTAAGCCTTTGACCTTAAAAATTAAGGAATTATATTCTGTGCAAATATATATAAAGATTTCCAATTTGATGAATACTTAACAATTAGATGATACATGTTTAGATCATATGTCTATACAATTCGGGGTGAAAAAGCTTCAAGAGTCAGCTACAGAGTAAACAACAATTTTGACTGATTATCTAACCTCACAATTAATTATATAATTTTTCGGCTGTTTCATATGAATAGTTTCACATCTGCTAAGTTAGAGAAGAAATTGATAGTGAATACAATTCATTAAAATACAGGATGCAAAAATTGTTTTTTTTTTATTTTGTATCATTACTTAAGTCATAGGAATGTTTATATGAAAAGCTACCACAAATATCATAATAAACAAAATGCTTAAAAACAAACATGTTCGATTCAAAATAAATGAAAGTTATGGTAGTTTCACAATCTCCTTTCCAGGTACTTATTTTTTTTCTGAATTACTTTTTATTTAAATAAGAAAAGTTTCTTACCTTTGTATCAGGTATAAAATTATCCTCACATGGTGATTTACTATGGTCCAAAACAATGGCTTTCCTAAAATGTGAATATCTTATGTGTTTATATATATATATATACAGTAGTCAACATTTGCTAGAGATCATGTTTTATTTTGAGTATATGTCAAAACCTACCACATTGGTATGTATAGATTGAACATTTTAAGAAGAAAAACACCTGGGTAAGTCATTTTTATACTTTACTAAATTCTGTAACATTTAACTTGAACATCAGAGCCTGAGGAACTGATGCACCCTGTGGTACAGTGTTAACAAGAAAAATTTCAAAATCAACAGTCACTGAAAGAAATGTCCAATTCACTGCTAAGATAATTTCGGTAGACTTTTGACCACCTCGAGCATTAATGAGTACTGCACAATGCCTGAGCGTGCTCATGATCAGATTAACCAATTGTTGTTGTGGAATCTGTTGCTGTTCTTCAATAAGGGCAGTTTCCAGGTTCTGGAGCATTCTTGGTGGGGCTTGATGAGCTTGTAACCTTGTCTGTAGCTGCTCCCAGATGTGCTCTGTTGGGTTAAGGGCAGGAGACCTAGCTGGCCACTGCATCCTGGGAATTCCTTCAGCTTCCAGGAAGGCAGTCACTGCCCTTGCATGGTGTGGATGTACATTGTCATTCACACGCAGGAAGTCTGGCCATGTTGCACCTGCATATGGACGAACAATGGGTGCAAGGATCTCATCTCTGTATCTTAGGCCAGTGAGCCTTCCACTTTGGAGGATTACAAGGTTGATACGGCCTACAATTGAGATGCCTCCCCAAACCATGACTGAGCCTCCTCCAAAGCAATCATGTTCGATGACATTCGAAGGCAAATTGCACTCACCAGGTTGTCTCCAAACTGTCCTGTGTCTGTCAAGAAAGGCAACACAACAGTGGGACTCCTCAATGAATAGTACAGCCATCCAATGTTGCAGAAGTCCACTTCCTGTGTTCTCTAGCCCACTGCAACTAAGCTAGTCTGTGCTGTCAGCTTAAAGAACATGAACAGCAGGATGTCTAGCTCTCAAATGAGCTTCATGAAGGTGTCTGCACACTTTCTGTGTAGACATTCAGACTCCTGTGGCATCTTGGAGGGAGTTATGAAGGTTAACAGCTAGAGCAAAGCAATTACTTCAAACCTGGATGTCAAATAGCGGTCTTGTTGTGAAGTTGTTAGTCTTCTCCTTCCTCCACCATGTCTCCTATTGACTCTGCCAAACCATCTGAATCTGTTCCAGGCCCTGGCCACCACACTTTTGGATGTGCCAAGAGCAGCAGCAACCCTGCATTGAGTCATGCCTTCCTGCAGCATCCTAACAGCCCTGTTAAGTTCTGCAGGTGAAGGATGATGTCTTTAACCTAAATGAGGCATTTTCTGCACTGTATAATCTCAATCAGACCAATTTTAGCATGCAATGCAAATTAAGGGCCTCACAATTTCAATGTATGAACTTTCAGTTTGGGGGTATGGTCAGGAAACAAATCCAGGATTCAATCAAATATATATACACACACACTTAAACAATTGTCATTTTACACATAAAATAGCCATTGACTTCCTGTGGAAGTCAGTTTGGAATTATTGTAAAATAACCTTACAGGAAACTGTTATACAACTAGTTTTGCCCAACCCATAAAAAAAATGACAGGTAGGAAGTTTGTAAAAAATAAACCCAGGAGCCCATCCCTTCAGTGAGATTTCTTCACCAAACTCCCTCCTTCATCACAAAAGAAAAACAATCACACATTGTGAAAAAAAAACAATTTAAGTACACTCTGAAAAATTAATAAAAACAGTGGGAACTTAAATTTAAAATGATTCGTAATATGAGCATTACACACATACACAATAATTACAAATGGCTTTTATATAAATTTATGAAAAGCTTAAAAATTCTATCACACAGTTTAAACCTAAAAATAAATTTCAAGTACCATCATTAGTAAAGACTAATAGTAATATATTTGGGAGAAAAGACGAAGAACAGATATTTTATCTAAAAAAGTAATAACAAAACTAAACAACTCCATGAAAACCTAATAAAAACACACAAATTATGATCACTAACCTCTGGATGTTTTAAAAATCATAAAACACTTCAAAATTTCAAGCTAAATATATGCTTAAGGAAAATGTAAAACAATCTAAAAAAAAGTGGAATTCAAGTTAGCCTTCATGAACGTTTGAAGTATTACATACATACTTAAGACAACAATAACAATTCACAGGTTTGTTGATAAGCGATACAGATGAACAGAGCATTACTAAAAGAGAACTGGCTTTTGTATATATAAGATTATTATATAAATACCATCTATGAGTTTTTAACACTAATATTTCATGTAGTCAACTTCTCTGTACGTTTTCATAAAATCTCTTGTGTAATATGATTTCATATTTCTCAAAGCTGTGTTCACAGGCTTTATTTTGTACAGTTGTTACTTTTGTCAGGTACAAGATCTAGCAAATCCCAGACTTGTTTTACAGGATTAAGGCCTGGACTGTGTGGCAGCCATTCTGAGCTATTTTTCTTTGCCAAATAAACTAAAAATTTCTTGGAAGTGTGTCTCCAGTCATTATCTTTTTTGAAATATGAAATTCTACTAAATCTGCTTCTTTCCATGATTGAGTAATTAATGTACTGTGCTATTTATGCTGATCCATGATTATATCACTTTTGTGAAGACAGTCAACACCATTCACAGATATTGCACCCCAAACATTCACAGAGCCTCTTGCAAGCTTGATTGATAGAAAAAGCTGCTCCATCTGCAACTTCTCACCAACTCTTTGACAAATATGTAAGTGCTGATTAGTAGATATCAAACAATTTAAAATTAGAATTGTCTGTTCAAAGCACATTGTGCCACTATTTCAAACACAGGATACATGTGCTTTCAGAAAAGCAAGTCTTTCTGTTCTATTCTTTTTGTACAATAAAGGCTTTATCGTTGCTATTCATCCCCAAGAGCCATATTTCTACAGTGTTAATTTTCATTGTTGGAAGTCATAGTTACCATAACATAATTAGTTTGTTCATCTTTTTTTTTTTAATTTAAAAAGATTATATTATACACACACCATGATATGATATAATGTTTCATGAAAACAATACAGTGAATCTATTTATTTTAGAAATAAACTTTTTTTATTAAGTTCAATGACTTGTATTTTACCTATCTCTGAAATATTAGTTTGCTTATAAACCTAATATTGATTTGCTAGAATTATACTAATATAATAAATCAGCATATGTTTATTTCTTATTATAATTTCTTTCATTATCTGTAATCTTAACATGCAGCTTTCCCATAAACTAAAAAAACTAATTTTAAAATCTTTAGAATTGTATAGTATGTAGATAACAGTTTCCTCTAATATATTAAAAACATTTGTACACTAATCATGTAAGTGTACAGATATACAAATATATATTTAGAAAGGTAATGATTAAAGTGGTAACATGTACTGAAAACAAACAATAAAAACCCATTAAAATAAAAAAAATTGTTTTCATGGTCAAATGAACAAAACTGAAAATTAACTTCTACCATATCTAAAAACCAGCTTTTAAATCTCCCTGCTTACCTTAATAGATCTTCTAACTGTGCTTCATAATTATCTTTTTTAACACTGCAAAGTAAAAAAGAATACTTTAAAGAGGACAAATACTAATGAGCATAGCATTTATTCTAAACATTGTCTTATATTTAACAATAATTGAAAATGTTTGCATAAGTTACTTTTCAATTGTTTCAGTAGTGGCATGGGAAGTATGCTGTATCGTGTGGAAATTAGTTGAAATTTAAATTCAATACTTCTTTACAAAAAAGATGACATTCAGTCACTTAAATATCAGATTTCTGCTATCACTGAATCTTTCTTTCTAAGCCTATAATATAACACTAATACATATTTAAAACATATGATTGTTAAACACTTGTGATAAAAGTTGTTTAATAAACTGCAGATGCTTCTCCCTTCCCAACTTCCTCTTCGCTAGTTCATTTTAGATTCAAAATCAGAGGTATGTAAAAAAATGCATTTTTAATCTGAAATGGACAAATTAAGAATAAAAAAACATCTGCAGTTCAAGTGATTTTTATTGCAAATTTTAGGCCTACTGGTTTCTGATATGCCAGTTTTCAGAATTTAAACTGTAACATATAATTATCTGTAATTTTTTACACTCTCAAAATCTATGCAAGCTGGGTTTAGTGAAGTTTTAACAACATAGCTTTATAAAATTGCAGCATTAACTGCAATAACTTGCTTGCTTTCTAATCAATTTAAATGAATTTCAAGTTAATTACTACCTTTATTTTTCTCCTAGCCAAAAACTGTTTTCTAATTCAAATAGCAAATCCCATCTGAGCACCTTTTTAAAATTTATCTTGAAGAAGTTGTTTTTTGTACAGCTGCTGTAAATATACTGTTAACTAATGAGCAAATTCAGAATAACCTTGGATGGGAATAACCTTAATAGAGTTATGAAGGAAAGAGATCTTGGTGTAATAGTCGATCAGTCTCTAAATCCATCCAAACAGTGTACTGTTGCTAGTGGTTGGGCAAATAGGATTTTATGTTGTATCTACAGAAATATTGAATTCAAGTCTAAAGTGGTTATAATTTCATTGTATAGGTCA